CTCCCGCACTCCTCGCGTGGGCCAGGGCGGGGGGCCGCCCCGCAGTCCCACTCGAGAGGCCGCTCCGCGCGGGCACCGCAGGCTCCTCGGGCCAGGGGGGCGGGGGCGCAGCCGCCTCCCTCATCGCAAACTTCGTGCGCTGCTTTTCTGGGCGCCCCGCGGCCGGGGGCAGAGGCCCCCGCACCGCCTCGGCGGCTGCTGTTTTTATTACTATTATTATTATTGCTCCTGTTATTATTGCTCCTGTTGTTATTGCTCCTATTATTATTTCCCTGCCGCCACGCTGCAGGGCCGAGTTGGGGCTTCTCTCCTGGGGCAGCCCCGTTTCCAGCGCAGACGAGCACACTTCCGCGGGGTCTTCCCCCGCACCGCTCCGCACATAGACTGGCAGGGGGCGAGCGTTCCTACTCCGCGCTGTCCCCTGAGCCTGCTCCCCTAGGGCTGCGGGGGGACAGACTGAAGGTGCCCGATCCCCGCCATCTCCCTTCCCCTCCACGCCCCCCAGGAACCTCTGATAGGGTGAGGACTGAAAACCGGGCCTTAAACTCCCTTGCTACCGAGAGGATTTTACTCAGCCCCGAGACAAGCTCCCCGCTGTATTTCCTTTCCCCGTACACTTCCTGACATGGGGAAGATAACAAAGGGGAAAGTTTAAAGCAATAAATATCCCCGATCCAGCTCACCCTCAGTGTTGGGCTGCATCTGCAGAGCTTGAGTGAAGGCTGGAGAGAAATCTGGGTTTCCAGCTCCTCGGGCAGGGTCTCGACCCGGAGCGTTTGTTCCCGACACACGCTCTGCCGCCTTCGTAGTATCTTTGGAGATTTCCCCCCCACCCCCCCAATTCCTTGGGCATTTATTTTTCCCCAACTGCCAACGGTCATACTCCTCTGCGTATATTTCACGTTGCAGTTTGCCCATTTCTGCCTGGATTGAAGCGGGGCCGATGTAGCTGGCCAGTCCTATGATAGATTTAATGCTCTCAGATAGGACTCTGGGCGGGAAAGGATAGCATTTTTTAAAGAAGTAACGTGATTTAATAAGCCGAAACGTATTATCAAGTCATGAAGGCTTCCTGGCCACGCAGAAACCCACTGACAGGTTTTCTTGTGTTTTGATAGATTTAGTGCTGTTGCGGCACAACTCTCCCTCGCATTCGGTAGCTAAGACTTGAAGATTAAAGATCGCACACCTCTAGATGAATCAAAGCCTGCACTGCGGAGTAGCTAATACATTTCATGATTGATTTCCCCCTGCCCTGCTTCCAGTCTCAGCTTTTCCCCTCTCCGCGTCCTGCTTGGCCCAGCTGCGACGTCCCTGCCGCAGCCCGCAGGGCGGTCAGAGGAGTCTCTATCTTCGGGAGAAGCTTTCTGAAAATCACCTTTCTGGCTCAAAGCACCCTCGAGAAAAGTTTTAAACTGAAGTCGGCTGAAGTAGCTGTTCCGTTTGCCCAAGGGGCGAGGCCACCTCGAACCATCATGATGTCGTGGGGCAAAAATGAGCCCCGCGAGCGGAGTCAGAAGAGCCTTGTGTGTGCTGGGACCTTGCTGTCCCTCCACGTCAGGTCCGAAGAGCTGAGCCCCTGGGGCATTAACAGGCCGTGCTCGGGGTGGGATGACGCTTGGGAGCCCCGCCCCCCCCCCCCCCCCCCCCCCCCCCC